CACAACCTGACTTTCCTACAATAAGATCTCATATACTTCTTGGTAATAACTCATTATTATTATGATTATTTTTATTTACATTATATGATAAATCTACTACTTCCATCTTTTTTTGTATAAAGAATTTTTTTAAATTAAAATGTAATAAAAAAATAAAAATAGTTATAAAAATGTACTGCCTTAAATGTAGAAACAAAACAGATACACTAAACTTACAAAATGTTGTGAGTAAAAACAATAGAAATATGCTATGTGGAACTTGTGCTATTTGTGGTACAACAAAAACTCAATTTACAAAAGGATCAGCAAAAAGATCTGTAGGAGCAAAAACAGGAGGTGATTTAGTCAATTCACTAAACTCAGTAACAAGTAAAATAAAATTACTATGGGCAAAGTTCCCAGGTGAAATGCATTTACCTGGTATGAACTTTGCAGGACCTGGCACTAATTTAAATGAAAGATTAACTACTACTGATGCACCTAAAGAATGGAGTAAGCCTGTAGATAGAGCTGATAATGCAGCTTATATTCATGATCTTGCTTATAAACATTTTACAGAAAACATATAATGTACTTAAAAATATTACTGAAAAAAATAATACTTTTATTTTGAGTACAAATGGCACTAATTTTATTTTCAGTACTAAATGGCACTAGACTCGTTATTTTTCTCCATGTAGAAATATAGCTGAATAAAATGATGATTGAACAATTAAATGCTATAAAAAATCCTACATCGCGTGAAAGAATTGAACGAATTATTATAAAACCCATTATATCAACTAAAATAAAGTTTGGTATGGGTGTTAAAAAGTCAAATAACTACCAGCAATCAGTAAAAAAGCAAAAAACATAGATCTAAAATGGACTGATGAACTTGCAAACGAACTTCATTGACCCGTTTCAAACATTTCAGAAAAAGAAAAATTATTGTAAATGGAATTGATGACGTATGGGCTGCTGATTTAGTTGACATGCAAGCTTTTTCTACATTCAATGACGGTATAAAACTTATTGATGGTGATAGATGAATTTTCAAAGTATGGATGGATCGTTCCATTGAAGAGTAAAACTGGAGTTGACGTTGCTCATGCTTTAACTAAAATCTTTAAAGATAGAAAGTGTACAAAATTGTGGGTAGATAAAGGTTTAGAATTTTATAATATCAAAGCATGTTAAAGCATTAGGAGTACAGTTATAATCAACTGAAAATGAAGAAAAAAGCTGTGTAGTTGAATGTTGGAATAGGACGATGAAAGAGAAAATGTTTAAGTACTTTTCTGCTTATTCTACTAGAAAATACATTGATGTTTTAGATGAAATGGTAAATAAATACAACAACACAAGATACTCTTCAATTAAAATGACACCAGCTGAAGCAAGCAATAAAAAGAATGAGAATACTGTTTGGCTGAATCTAAACGGAAAAGTTCGATCAGAGCTTGTTCAACCAAAGTTTTCAATTGGTGATAAAGTTAGAATAACTAAAAAGAAAAAAGAGTTTGAAAAAGGATTCACACCAAGATGGACCGAGGAAGTATTTACTGTATCACAGATTCAATACACAGATCTGACAACATATAAAATAGCTGATCATAATAATGAAGAAATACAAGGTACTTTTTCTGAACAAGAACTGCAAAAAATGAATCAAGAGATATATAGAATTGAAAAGGTTATTTGTAAACGTGGAAACAAGTCATTAGTAAAGTGGTATGGGTATCCTGAGACTTTTAACTCATGGGTTAGTAATAAAGAATTGATGCAACTGAACTAGAATGTGACAAAGATTTATTGTTAGGACAATGCTACTATTATGCTTAGATGGTTGCTTTGGTAGTTAAAATTAAAAAACAATTTTTAAAATTTTTTATGACAATGAGCTAGAAATTATGGTTGTGATGAACCATAAATAAAAAGTTGTTTTTTTTATGACAATGTGTGAATTTTATAATGATGAGCCAAAAATTATGCTTGCGAACTGAAAAATTCAAAAAATTATGGATAAAAATATGGTCAAAAAAATGAGCCAGAACCGGTAATTCTCTACTACTACCCCACTTGTCACAGGTAACCAATTCAACTAGGTGTCACCCAGGATGACTCATTGAGACCTGTTGAGTAGAAATGCTTTTATCCAATCGACAAGATTCCCTTCGATTCTGTACATTTTTAGTTTGTAAAGCATTCGCTGATGTGGCACTTTGTCAAATGCTTTGGCAAAATCCAGGAGTATGATGCTAACTGGTAGTTTTCTGGCCGTATTAGTTAAAGAATGAATGAATAAAATTTGTCTTCAGTATAAAAAAACATTCTATTCCTTCAAAAAAATGTAAGGGCCAAGAGCTGCTCATTTTTTACGGCTCTGGCTCCACCAAAAAACATCAGCTCCCCAGCTTCGGCTCCACAAGTTTGGTTTAAATCACAAAAGCTTGGTTTAAATCATCAAAACATCTAAATAGTCATGGTCAAGTTGTCAAGAAAAAAAATCATTTGCATGGTAAGCAATAGTATTCGATCACACACCATTCCTGTCTGAGCCTTATATAGCCTATATATATATATATATATATATATATATATATATATATATATATATATATATATATATATATAGGCTATATAAGGCTCAGACAGGAATGGTGTGTGATCGAATACTATTGCTTACCATGCAAATGATTTTTTTTGTATATATATATATATATATATATATGTGACATTTTTCTTTTTAAATCTAATACAGTAGTAGAGTAATGATAATAAAACATTAACCTTGTAATCATGAAATTCAAAAATGAATCGCTCTAATTGGTTTGGATTTGGGTTGGCAAATGTGATCAAAAAAAGTATTCCAAAATTTGCGATTTTTGTTTATAAAGTATGGAAGCCAGAGCTGAGCCGGGAGCCAAGACGAGCCGGAGCCGGACATTTCTTAGGAGCCAAAGCTGGAGCCAAGCTGTAAAAAAAACTTGCAGCTCCACAAGCCTGATTTAAACATTTCAGAAATAAAAAAAGAAACACTAAGCTAAACTTAAACTAGGAAAAAAATTAAAAAAAAAAACTAAAGTAAAAAGAAAACAATTCCTTGCGAAAAAGAAAATATATAAGCTTTAAAATAAAACTCAAACTTGAAGCAAAAATAACTTTTTGTTATGTTTTAAATGTGTTTGAAATAAATTACTTTACAACTTATTTTTTGAAACATATTATTAAAGTTACGCAAAACGTTTTTACAAATTACTTCTAACAATTGTTTAATAAATGAACAAATTTTATTTAAACTATTGAAAAGAAAAAAAGAAAATATTTTTAAATTGTATAAACATTTTTTCAAAAGTCGTAAATAGTTATTTTAAAAAAATAATGTAGTTTTTTAAAATAGTAATTTTTAATCATTTCATGCTCAGATTAGTAAGTCAAGTTTAAAAAAAAAGCTTTTAAACAAATCTTTTTAAAAATAGAAACAAAACAAATAAAGAATTTAAATCATTTATGCAGATTTTTTGGAACTTATAATTTAAAGTAACTTAAAAAAAAATTCTTTCAAAAGATTCTTAGAAAGACATTGTAAAATAGTTTCAAACGTTTAAATTTATAATGAAAAAATACATACCTACATAAAAAAAAATTTTAATATAATTTTTTTTGTTAATTTCACAAATGTGTGTTGTTAATTTCACAAATTAAAATGTGTTTATTTTAAACGATTGTTTAAAATAAACACATTTTGTGAAATTAACAAAAAAACTTTTATTTCAATTTTTTTTATGTAGGCATGTATTTTTTTATAATAAATTTAAAAGAATTAATTTTGTATTTTATTTAAACCTTTGTGTAAAATAAAAACGTTAGAAAAGATCACAGATTAAAAGTTATTCATAACGAAACTATATATAAATTATTCATTTAAACTATATATAAACTATATATAAATTATTATTCATAACGAAAATATATATATATATATATATATATATATATATATATATATATATATATATATATATATATATATATATATATATATATATGTATATATATATATATATATTTATTTATTTATTTATATATACCTACATATATATATATATATATATATATATATATATATATATATATATATATATATATATATATATATATATATATATATATATATATATATATATATATATATATATATATATATATATATATATATATGTGTGTGTGTGTAAATGTGCGTGTTTAAATATATACACACACATACATTCATACATAATACATACATATATACATACATACATACATACATACATACATACATACATACATACATACATACATACATACATACATACATACATACATACATACATACATACATGCAAACATACATGCATACACACATACATACAAACATTTATACTTCCATGTATTAAAACTTTTAAGTCTGATTTATAAAAAAAAATAGTATGCAACAGGAGGGAAATTTTATTTAAGGTCTAAATAATTTTCAAAATTTAATCTAGTTTCTCAAGAGTGATGTTTTTTTAAATTTTTTTTACCTGTTATATGCCAAGTTTAGTAAATGAATTTAATATCTTCACATTTTTATTATACCTATCTACAACCTAGTTATGTTAAGTAAGTACATACTTTCCTAAAACCTGTTTATGTTGCTGATGTTCATACCTACTTATAACCTAGTTATATAACCTAAGTACTTGGATATGATAGCTAAGTGTTTAAAAGTTTTGAAATTAAATTTAAAAAAATGTAGTGGAAAAATCAACAAATAGCAACTCATTAAAATATTGTTTTTAACGTTATGTATTTCTAAATTCTGTGTTATAATAATTCAATTAGTAGAGTATTACGAAGCTAAAATTGAAGTTGTTGTTAAATGTTTGTTTTTGCTGAAAATGGAAGTTGTTGCTAAGATATTTGCTTTTGCTAAAATAAATTTAAAGTAAACTTGCTAATACATTTGATTTGAAACTTTTAAAAATATTTTTTAGTTTTTAAAGATTGTTAACAGCGTTTGATCAGAAGCAGGAAAAGAAAGATGGTGAGTTTATTTTTAAACAAACTAATAAGCTGGTTTTAGAATTACCTGATATAAAAAAATACTGCTTTTTAAATAACATTTTTTTATTTACAAAATTCAATTATTCGCAGCTTCTAAAATTATCTCACTAATCTTTTTCTAAATTAAGTAATTTATGAAACCCAAACTTAAAATTACAATTAACATGTAATGTCTTAATAATGTCCTGGTTTTATTAAAGTTGGTTAAACAAAAAAAATACTGTAAATATATTTTATCTTTTAAATTTTTTTTTGAAAGATGAAATAAATTTTTAGTATTTTTCTGGTTTCTACCCTTTTTTAATTTTTTTAATTTTTTCATATTTTTATTCTTTGTACACCATTTTTTAAATATAACACAATATCCCCCCTTTTTTTGGCACTATAAAACCAATTTAATTAGGTAATAAAAAATCTAATTTTTTAGTACAAAGTTAAATAAAGTATACATTTGCATATTTAAATTATATTTATAAACAATATTAAAAATTGCTTTTAATTTAACTTTAAAAACTATTCTCTTTTGTTTAGGGTCCAAAGAAAAAAAAAACTGGTAAAAAAATAGGGACAAAAGAGAAAACACCTATTGCTGATGGAATGGATACTACTGAAATGAGTAAAGAGCAGGTAATGTTTTTATTATTTGCAGTAAAAAAGACAGAAACACTTCATTTTAAATATTCATTTTGATTATTTACTACACTAAATGTTTAAATAACTAATAAGTAAAAAAAAAAAAAATGTTTAAAGTATTTTAAAATATTACTATTGCATCAAAGAAAGATAAAGTAAATAAATTTTTTCATATAATGACTGTGTAGTTTTTTGTTAAAAAAATGTATATTATTTTTTGGATCAAAAATTTTTATTAGCAGTTATTTTAATAAAAACAAAGTATATGTAAAGGTATAAAAAAATATGTTTTTAAACTCTTAAGCTTCAAAATTGTTTAGCTTGAAGACTATGTTGCTAAACTTCGTGAAGAACTTGACAGGGAGCGTGAAGAAAGAAACTATTTTCAGTTAGAGCGTGATAAAGTGAATACGTTCTGGGAGATAACAAAACGTCAACTTGAAGAAAGAAAAATTGATCTAAGAAACAAAGAAAGAGAACTTGAAGAAACAGAAGAAAGGCACCAAGTAGAAATTAAAGTTTATAAACAAAAAGTGAAACATTTACTGTATGAACATCAAAATAATATAACGGAAGTAAAAGCAGAAGGTTTGTTTGTGCTCTAACAATAAAAGCTTTAAATACAAACACAATTTAAATCATTATTGTTACATTAAAAATTTTTATATGAACACAAACTCTCACATTTTTTTGTTTAGTATTTAAGAAAGTTTTATAATCTTGTTAGTAGTTTACTACCTATGTTTCTTTTTATTGTTAAGGGGTGGTTGCATTAAAGTTGGCTCAAGAGGAGCACAAAACTGATGAGCAAAAGCTTCGTGTTGAAAAACGAAATCTTAAGGTTAATCTTAAAGAGCAAGAACTTTCAAACGAAGATGTTGTAAAGACACTTTTAAGAGTAAGCATTTTTTATCATAATCACCATCATTATCATCATTAGACCATTATTAGATGATTTTATAACTGAAGATTGGTTTTATTACTGAAGGTTTACTCCTGGTTTTATTGCATTTTTAAATAAAGGTTTCACTGTTCAAAATTTATTTCTATTTAGGCACGTAAATCCTGTATTCCACCATTTATACATATTAAGCAAAATTTACACCTGCTGTAATGTAACATTTTAAATACACATTGACATGGGAATATTTAACCTTCAACTTGTTTAATCTTCAGCCACTTCTTATTTTAATAAAAAAATAAAAGCAAAAGCAGTTATAATCAGTTGATTTATTTTTATTTATTTTTTTGCATGTACTTTTTTGAATTGTCTTGTGTGCGCACTTGTTCTTTTGATTATTTTTGTGCTTTTTTCTTTGTAATTTATTTGTTTTTTTGTTGTTTGAACTTCTTAACTGGTTGTTCATTTTGAAAAACTACAGTTTTACAAATAAAAAATCTTTAAATCTTCAGGTTGTATTATGTTACATTCAAATTGATTCATTATATGTCTCCTGGGCATCTTTGGTGTACGAACTCAATTGGGTGTTAAATGCTTAGGTGCTGGTAAATGATAGGACCATTAATGAAATTGGGTGTCAAAATCTGGGGCAAGGGCTCAATTTTGTAGAAAAGTTATAATTTTTCAGTATGAATAAAGGCAAAACAGGTTAACATTGGCTTTAAAACAAACATCAATTTTTGTTATTTGTGCTCATGTTTTTCCTAGATTATATGATTATACATACAAAACAATATTTATACATAATTGTCATGTCAGATTATACAATCTTCATTTAATCTATATAGAAATCAGTTATCTAGAAACTAAATTGATTATAATCATTTTTCAAATCTAAAATCATTTTTGTGTTTATAATTTTTGTTACAAAGCAGTAGAACAATCATCTTCATGATGATTCTCAATAATCACCTGCTTCATGATGTTCTTTTTTGGGACTTTTAAATATTTATGTAATATGGCCATTCCAATCAGTAATTATATAAAATATTTTGTTTATATATATATATATATATATATATATATATATATATATATATATATATATATATATATATATATATATATATATATATATATATATATATATATATATATATATATATATATATAAAATATGTAAAATTAAATAAAAACGGCTGCGTATAAACTTTTTAAAAAATATATATTTGTTTTTATTTTAATATATTTTAAAATATATTAAAATTAAAATAAAATATATTAAAATAAAAACAAATATATATTTTTTAAAAAGTTTATACGCAGTCGTTTTTATTGAATTTTACATATTTTATTATTATCGTATAACAAGAAAATGAGTTTTAAAGATTATATATATATATATATATATATACACACACACACACACACACACACACACACACACACACACACACACACACACACACACACACACACATGAATATATATATACACACTTATAGTAAAGGGTTTAGATATACAGTTTGTGGTAAAAAACAGCTCTTCGATTGTCTGTGGTTATTTATCTGACAAAACTAAGGTTAGATTATAACAAAATTAATTTAATTGTGGGAAATAATTAAATTTAAAAAACCACAAAAACGCAAATTAAAAGACTAGAATGTTTTTAAAAACATTCTGAATGTTTTTATTTTTATTTTTTTACTGTAAAACATGCGCTTTGCTACATTGACTATATTATAGCCTGACTCGCAACAGAGTGTTGCTACATTGACTGAGGGTTTGGTTAGGGCAGACAGTCTGTCAAATAATAAAGAAAGAAAAAAAAAACTTCTTCCGATCTTTAAATTAATTTTTTTTTTAAAAGAAACTTAAAACTGACATTTTATGGTAAATTTATGGCGACCATGGAAGAGTATATGTATATACATATATATATATATATATATATATATATATATATATATATATATATATATATATATATATATATATATATATATATATATATATATATATATATATATATATATATATATATACACACATATAGTTTTCAATATTTTTTTCTTACATAATGGTAGCAAGACAATTAGTAATGATCTGCAAGTTGTTTCAGTTCTAATGTCTTTTTTGTTTTTCAGTTTTGTTTTGATTTTGTTAATCCAAAATAGTTTTTTGTGCATTCCCTGAACCAAGCGGGACACCTTTTTGATAAATATATTTTTAAGTCATCTACTTTCAACTTGTACAAATCTTCTGAAGCAAAAATTTAAATAAATAAGAATAAAAATAGAATAAAGCAATTTTTTGCTTGTAACTCTATACTACGTAAGTTTTTTTGTTTCCCAGTAAATTTAATTTTATAAATTACACATGTTCAATTACAACAAAATGCATACTTTAAAGTATTTTCAAAATAGTTTAAGGTACTTTAATGCCACTTTTTAAACAGATCCCATAAAGAACCAATAAGGGTGAAGAGTTAGCAAAAAATAATTATTCAAATATTTTTAAAAATACAATAACAAGGCATAACTAATTTTAATGTTAAAAGATAGTTTTCTCATATTGTCAACAATAACAAGCCAAAAGCTGACACAAATTATTTTGATTACAAAATTAACTGGCGTCAAAGTAGAAAGAAAGTCAAAAAAAAATTAATTGTCATAATTTATAGTATCCAAGAAGCACTAGCTACTAAATACTAGAATAAAATTAAAGATGCTAGAGAAGAAATCATTAAGTTTTTTAATATTTAACAATTAAATTACTTAAAACATGAACAAACACTTAAGTGAGATTTTAAGACTTGAATTAAAAAACAAAGACAGAGTAAATTATATCAGTTACACTTAAATTGAGATACAATGAGAACTACATTAGGAAAGTATTTCTAAGTATATAATTTCACAAATCAAATGCTATTACTTTTATTATACTATATAACCAGTAATAAAAAATAATGAAGACTGCAATAAAAATTTATTATCTTAGTGATTTGAAAAAACTAGCAAAATCTAAAATATAATGCAAAGATTCAAGTATGCTAATGGTGATTATGAAAAACTAAAGTTAATTTAATTAAGTTTTTTAAACTAAACAAGTGTTTTGAGTTAAAACTAAAGTATTTTCTAATTTTTATATAGTCCCAAGACTCTATATATATATATATATATATATATATATATATATATATATATATATATATATATATATATATATATATATATATATATATATATATATATATATATATATATATATATATTGGAATTTAAAAAAAAATTAAATTAAATATAAAAGTCTTAATTATGCAAACTCTCTTTTATTAATTATTTTTAAAACAATAAACAAATACTTCTATGCAAAACTTTATTTGTGCAAACTTAAAAAAATACTCAACTAAAATAATATAAGTATATTTAATAATTTGAATCGTATCTGTTTATAATAAACGTTCATAAAAGTTTGTTCATTAAAAATTAAGTTCCTTAACTTATAAACAAACTCAAAAGTATTTTCATTCTACGTATAATTACAACTCTTTTTTTTTTTCGTTTGTAAGCGATTTAACTTGTAATAATAAAATAAAAAAAGGAATAAATCTGAGGAAATCTTTGTTAAGAGTTTAATTTATTTATTGAACTATATTTTTATTTATATATCAACTTTAATAAAATATAGTAACATGTTAAAATATTTTAACATGATTTGTGTTATTTATAAACCGTAGGGCAGCTACCCTTACGGCACCATTGGTTTTGGATAATATTTTATTTTGATGAAGATCACATAACTTACATTTGATTTTAATAACGTAAGTCTTCTTTTTTCCTGTGATAGTTTCAATTAGAAAAGCATTGGCAAAGTCCCAGGATTTAAAAGTTTTCAAAGTAAATCTGTTGTCCTTCAAAATACAATCCATATTTGAACTTTAAACAACTTGGAGAGAATAGAAATATACTAGGTTTTTATATACTAGTTTGTCTTATCTTAAAAAGAAAAATACATAGTCATTAGTAAAAAATAGAGACTGTCATTAAACTAAAATGTGCCTTAGTATTTATTTAACAGAGTCTGTAATGTGCGCGTGCATAATGAAACCTCCGTTGTATAAATATATTCAACTTAAAATTGGTGTCATCAGTGGATGTTTTAGTCTAATCGTGATTTCTTTACCTTATAATATAACTTGATATATGAAAAAAAAAACTTATGAAAAAAATAACTTATTAAAAAAAACACGCAGAAGAAATTTAGCAAATTGTCTTCATTCAAAAATTGTGAGTAACAGGTAATTTTTTTTTTCTGTGCTGGTCCCCTCCCCCCGCTTAACTTAGAGGTAAAGATATCTATATACCTTTAACTAATAAGAAAAGCAAAGAGTAATAATTAATGAAGCAATTTTTAGTACAATACAAATAGATTGTTCATTCATTAGCACATTTTTTTCAATATCTTGAAGAAGTGTCTTGATATTTTTGTTATCTTGATAACAAAAATATTAAGACATTTGAGATATAAAAAAAAATGTCAATCCTTAATTACAAATTTTTTGCAAATATTTTTCAATATAAATTCAGTAAAAAAAATCTTAAAAAATCTATATTACAAAAAACATTTATATTCTGTATTAATAAATTTGGAATATAGATTTTTTAAGTTAATAATTTCTTTTTGGACAAATTTATGAAATGTTCTTTGAGAATTAGTATGAACATAAGGTTAATTGAATGTTTTGTACATGCATGTGCAATACCTAGAAGTTTTACTATTGGAGTCAGAGTCGCGATTTTGTTAAGCGACTCCGACTCCGCTAAAAATGTTGCGACTCCCCAACTCTGACTCCACAGCCCTGGGCATAAGGCTTTTAAACAAGGCCTGTATATATAATCCCAAGACTGCAATCTTTTTAATTTTCTGATCAAGTAGTTCAAGTCCTTTCTCTTTATTCAATAGTCAATACTGTTGTTATTGGTGACTTGAAAGCT